CCACTGCTTTCACATGTGATCACATTTAGTCTTTAAAGATGAGATGAAATTGGTATCTTGCTTAAGGTTTCTGCATGTTAAAAAAAAAAAAAAAAAAAAAAGGAGGAGGTGAGGTGGTCAGGTTCAGGCTCAGCAGTGTAATGATACAAAAGCTTATCCTCAGCAAATGCTTCCTGTGTTTTTAGTTAATACCATAAGGTGAGTTTCCTCTACAGTGAAAGTGAAAACAACTGAAACCTGCTCATTCTCCTTCCACGGATGTTAGTTTTGGTTTACTCATCAACTTCTCTGTTGGTGTTATCTTACTAGTGAGTTTTAACTTTACGGTTTTGTTGATCATAGTAATGACAGTCCAAACAGTCCATATCTATATTGTGAAAAATGTGAACAGAGACTTGTATTTTTTTAGAGGTGGGGAGAGGGAGGGAGGGAGAAAGTGGGGAGACAGGCAGAGGGGAGAGAGAATCTTAAGGTCCTATCCCATGACCCTGGGATCATGACCTGAGCTGAAATCAAGAGTCAGACCTTAACTGACTGAGCCCCTCAGGTGCCCATGGAGACTTGTATTTTAAATCAGCAGCAGTAGAGGGAGAGAATATTCCCATTCTTTCCTTATTTACTTATTTCAGTACAGTCTATCATCTGTGTTTATATCAGTTTTCTTCTCTTGACTAGTCAGATACAACCCCATGAAATTGTAAGAATTCCAGCTTTAAAGGTTGTGATTTTTCTAAAACAATATATGGACTGAATAACTTCTTTTGTTTCAGAACCAAGAGTTTCTGTCATGCAGACTGTGGGGTCGTAAGTGGACCCTTAATGCTGCTTGGAGGCCATCATTGTTTCCCTCTTGGGACAGTAAACCACATTATTCGGGTGTGATGGGGAGCTGGTAGGCAGAGGGTTTAGGGTCAGGACCCGGATGGGGGCAGGGCTCCTCTTTTAGTTAGAGACACTACACTGTACAGTTTCTTTAAATAAGAGCCTTTGCTGAGGACATAGCAAATCCGACCTGTTCCTTTCCCCTTTCAGAGTAGAGGCAACAGGTATTCATTAAACTAATAACGAGTAATTCCCCACAATCCCAGATTGCAATTTTACACCTTTTCTTCCTCCTCAAACCTGCTGTACATCCTCTCTCAGCCTCACTTTCAGGTGATGACTTTGTTTCAGTTTTCTCGGTGAAGTAGGAAGCAATCAGGAAATGTGCGCCAGCCCCACCATGTGTTCCCGCCTAGCAGCATCCACCTGGATTCCTTTGCTGGGAAGACTGACCATGGTCTCATGCAAGGTCATTCCCTTCTGCACTCTGTTCCCATCCCCTCTCTCTTACAAAGGGACACAGCTCCAGCAGGTCTCTCCTTTCTTTCTTGTGCCACCATCTTTCTCCTGCCTACTAGATCCTTTCAATAGCATAGTATTGTGTTATTTCTCTCATCTTAAAAAGCAAGTTCAGGGATGCCTGGGTGGCTTACTCAGTTGAGTGTCCAACTCTTGATTTTGGCTCTGGTTATGATCTCACGGTCTTGAGATTGAGCCCCTGCTTTGGGCTCTACACTGGGTGTGGAGCCTGCTTGAGATTCTCTTTTTCTGTTTCTCTCTGTCTCTCTCAACCCCTCTCCCTCTTATTCTCATTTTCTTTCTTAAAAAATTAGAAAAAAAAAAAATTCTGCTAACCACAGACTCCACTTCCTCCTTCTGCTAATCTTCCCATTTTTTCCAGTCCAAGCTCCTTGTAAGAGTTGTCTATATCCGTGTCTCCAGTTCTTCTGCTATTGTTTTTTTCAAGAAAAAATGTTTAATTTTTTATTTTGAGAGAGCACAAGCAGGCGAGAGAGGCAGAAGGAGACAGGAATCTCAGGCAGGCTCCACACTCCGCACAGAACCCAACAGGGGGGGCTGGATTTCATGACCATGAGATCATGACCTGAGCCAGAATCAAGAGTTGGACACTTAACCAAGTGAGCACCCAGACGACCCTCTGCTATTCTTTTTTAAAGGTGCTGCAATTATGGGGCGCCTGGGTGGCACAGTCGGTTAAGCGTCCGACTTCAGCCAGGTCACGATCTCGCGGTCCGTGAGTTCGAGCCCCGCGTCAGGCTCTGGGCTGATGGCTCGGAGCCTGGAGCCTGTTTCCAATTCTGTGTCTCCCTCTCTCTCTGCCCCTCCCCCGTTCATGCTCTGTCTCTCTCTGTCCCAAAAATAAATTAAAAAACGTTAAAAAAAAAAAAAAAGGTGCTGCAATTAGACCTTCTCTTTAACCATTCCACTAAAACTAGTTTTCATCTTTAAGAGCCCACCAATCTCTGTGTTGCTGATTTGGTGGTCACTTCACAAGGTTCATCTTACTTAGCTGTTGGTAACATTGACACAGGTGATTCCTCTCTCCTCCCTCATCCTTGAAACACTTTCTTGACTTGTTGTCCAGCATACTACTGACTCTTGTTTTTCTTCCTCCCATTCTGGCTGCTCCTTCTCAATATTCTTTGCTGGTTTTGCTTCTTCTCTTTGACCTTATAATGTTACTGTGCTTCAGAGCTCAGGCTTTAGATCTTTTCCTTAGGTGCATTCATTGCCATAATTGATCTCAAGATTTTAAATACCATCCATATGCTGGTGAGTCCCAAATTTCTACCTCCAGCCCTTATCTCCCCCATGAAATTCAGATTTGTGTATGTCTAACTTTCTGCCCACCACCTCCCCCTGGATGTTTAATAGCCACTCGACATTTAATATTCCAAATCTGAATTCATGAGCACCCTCTCCACCATGAAACTTGTCCATTATCTTGTATTCTCTCCTATTAGAGTTAATGACAATCCCAACTTCTTAGTGGCTCAAACCAAAAACCCTGAGCTCTCATTCTCTCTTCTTTCATATCCCCTTATCCAAGGGGTAGTGTAGCCCCTTCTCACTACCTCCAGTCCCAACACTATTGCACAAACCATTCTCATCTCTTGCCTGATGTAGCAATAGCCTCCAACTATGCTGTCTATGCTTGCCCTTTTACAGTCTAGTCTGAGCATGGTGTCATCCTATTAAAAGGGAAGTCATGTGATGGTCCTCTGCTCTGAAGCCTCCAATGGTTTTATGTCTCAGAGTAAAGCAGAGCCCTTACCAATGGCTGACAGGGCCCATGTCATCTGCTCTGTGTTCCCCTTACTTCTCTGATCCACTCTTCCCCCTCTTTTACTGTATGCCAGGACTTTTCTTGTGAATGTGCCAAGTGTGATCTCTCCGCAGGGTCTTTGCACATTCTGTGCTGTCTGCCTAGATCACTTTTCCCACGTGCTTGTTCCTTGGTCTCTTTTAATATTGTGTTCAAATGTAACCTTTGCCCGAGGCCTTCCCCAACCACCCTATTTAGTTTTGCAACACCCATCCATGCATTTACTGTTCTCCTTCTTTGCTTCATCTTTCTTCATAGCACTTACTGCCTTTTGATATTGCATAAATTTACTTACATGTTTTTATTGTGTTTCTTTTCACACTTGCTTTGGAAGGACAGATATTTTTGTCTCTTGTTATTTCTTTACTAATGTTTCTATAGCATCTAGAATGGTGCCTGGCACATCATAAATGCTCAAAACAAATTTAACACTCTAGGAGGTATGTCGTGTCCTGAGTCAAAATACATGTTTGTTTAAACCAGCTGTGTCACTATTCATTTCATAACGACCATTCCTTGAGAGTAGTATTTGAGGCAAATTGGAGCCTAATTGATAGTTATATAATTTGGTTAACTATTTAACCAAATGTGCATTCATTGCCTGGAAACTGAGTCAAAGGGAGGCAGGCATCTCTTGGAAACCATGTTTGGGAAAGCCAAACTTAACACTGACAAGTGAAATCATTAGAAGATTGATTAGGAAGATCTAAATAATATAAAACCACTGTTTTGATCTCTTATAGTCCCTAGACTTGTTAAATACTTCTTTTCCATATAATAAGGAACTTAATGGTCTACTTTGGCATTTATTCTAGTCAAATACCAACACATTTAGTACCAGATAAAATATTTCATTGTAATAAAATCAATTGCTCAATCCTTCTAAGAACCCCATGAACTGTGAGATCTTGACCTGAGCCGAAGTTGGACACTTAACTGACTGAGTCATCCAGGTGCCCCAGCAATGATTTTTTTTTTTTTTAACTTTATAATTATTACTGGGAAAAGAGTACTTTAAAAAAGAGAGGACCTCATGTAGCCAGTTGAAAAACAGGTAAAAGTGGAACCTACCTATGTCCAAAGTCTAGGAGGATAGTTGTCCTCGACACTGGGATGAGCGGATGAATGTCCTCCCTATGGGGGATCCAGTTTCTGTGGAGTCTCAAAATGAGACAGTGTGTGTTGCGATCCAGGGAGTGAAAAAAGAATATGAAATTAAGACTATACATTTAGGTATAGGGCCTTATAAGGGCCCTGAAGCCTCCTCTGATGTTAATGATCATGTTGGTGATGGAGATGAGCATTTACACCTTGAGCACTGTTCCAGGCAGTTTCCATACATTATTCCCCAAAACAACCTAAGGCACGCTGTACCAGAGGTACAGAGAAGTCATGCCCAGGGTCACACAGCTGGGAAGTGGAGTTGTTAGAAGAATGACGAAGGGGAGAAATAAAGAAATTAAACTGAGAACAGAGACCTCCATCAACCTCAGCCTTGCCGCCGGTTATTCAGGGAGACGTGGAAAACTTCACTTCACCTTGCGTGTATGTCCTCCACTTGACTTGTGAAACAGACATATTGATGCCAGCTCTGAACTCCTTGTTCTGTTGTTCTGAGGTCAGGGAAAGCGTGTGGAAGTGCTTTGTGAAGAGTAGAGTGCTTGGAAATGTAGTATGACATGAAATCGATTTTCATTCCAACTCAGTATTATAGGGGAGGCTTGCAAATATGAATTTTGCTGACTTTTTATTTTAGTTCTAAGGTTTCTAATTTACTTCTGATGTTTCTAATTTATTTCTTGGATGTGATTTTTTTTTTTTTAATTTTTAGGTTACTTGTCTGCAAGACTTTTTTGGTGATGATGATGTTTTTATTGCTTGTGGACCTGAAAAATTCCGTTATGCCCAAGATGACTTTGTCCTGGATCACAGTGGTAAGGCAATTCTTTGACTGTCTTGATAACTCTGAAATGGAGGCTTGGGGTAGTCTGGCATGTTGAAGAAAGGGGACATTGGCCGTATTCTTTTTGAACTAACGAAAGCATTTGCCTAGTTGTAAAAAACAAACAAAAAATTTAATTCAAGTCCTTTGCAATTTTTAGCCATTTTAGTTCTCTTTTTACTGCATTCTTTTGTCTCTGAAATGGATTTCTTGCCCTGTTTCAGAACAGGGGCTGGCTCTGCCACCATAAATATATGGATTGTATTGAATCTGAAATGGTTAGTGATAGAATTTCCATGTGCATAATTGGATACGTAAAAGGATAATAACTAAATTGTTGATAATAATTGTCTCAGGTTCTTTTTTTATCTCATTCTGTTTGCAACTTAAAAAAAATAATGACATGCATTGTTCATATTTGCAGGAAAAAAATGAAGCTATTTTCATTGATACAATAAGAAAACCCCTTTCTCCAGAGTATGCAGTTTTCAACTTTTTAGCAATAACTCCAGTGAGTTTGAGTGTATTGATTCTGGAAAATTACTTTACCCTGTTGTCTTGAATTAATTTAAACCTGTTACAGTAATACTAATTATTTTAGCTGAGAGTCAATTTCCTCTTTAAATGAAATCCTACAGACATAACATTTCCCATAGGAGAGGGATATTAGAGATACACTCTTGAATTTCATGAATCGAAAAAGTTGGCTTTTCAAAAATTAGGCTGATGGTATCCCCTTTCCAGTTGTAGTGATTCTGACCATCCAGAACTGGAGAAATGTATTACCAAATAAATAGTGTGATACATAAACTTGTTAAAATTTGAGATGATACATTTTGTGGTACCAAATTTCCTTGTGTAATTCTTTCTTGTTACTCTGTGTCAGTTACCTTGGGGATAATTTATCTACTTTGTGCTTGGGCCTCATTTATCTACACTTTTTTTGTTTTTGTTTCATTTTTTCACTACTGCCACATTTCTTTGAGGGTTCCTGTACTGTTTTATATTCTGTTGGACTGGCCCTGGTTTAAACTGGTACTACCACTGGAAAGAAGTGCAAGGAATGTCCTTTTGTATTATGTGTGCTATGTATTATGTGTATTATGTGTGCTAATACACATAATCCCCTGTTCTCAGGGATGACTAAGGTTGACAAACTGTGTGTTTGCATTATCCTCTGTATTTTACATCTTCCTTGATTTTAGCTTAATTTCCATTTTGTAATATTTCTTTGATATCAATATTAGTAAATTAGAAAGTTGAGACACTCTAATACATTATATATCTTAGGTTATAAAGTTAATTTGGGTAACAACAACAAAACACTTACTGAGCACGTACTACCTATGTAGCAGTCATTGTTCTCTGTGCTTTATGTGTATGTTACAAACTTCTGCAGCCAGTTTTATCATTCATAGTTTTTGTTGTTAGCTACTGATGACCTCCAATAGTGAAAGGTGAGTGAGAGCTACTGATTTCTTCCCTCGCCAGTTACTTAACCTTCTGCATACTGGGGGTAATCGGCTTTTTGATAAGATTTTGTGAGGATTAAATGAGTTAATATAGGTAAAGTAGTTAGTGCCTGTAATATAGTATGCACAATTGCATAATATTATGTTACTGTTGTTGTAAATGTCATTATTATATCACCACCATCAGGCCATAACATTAGACCTAATTCTGCCACTGTTGTATTTATTAGGGGGCAAAGTTGTTGTTGCTTTTAAAATCAGTTATTTTAATCTTAATTAAAGATTGTGCTTAATCTTAACAAAGCCCTAACTCTTTATCCTTTTAGGATTCTGACATCTTGCATTAAAGATTCAGTAAAATGCTAATGTTGTCTTAGCCAAGTAACAAAATACTCCTTTGAAGAGCTGGCTTCGGGGATGGGCTTAGAGTCCTATAATGAGGGTGTAGCATTGAAGTTCTAGTTATTGGTTCTCTACATGTGCATTTGTGCTTATAAAAGAGTGGCAGTGCCTTTAAGGTGATTCTGACTAACACACACACCACTCCTTTCAACAGTGGAGTACTTTTTAACATCCATAATGCTAATTAACTAAACTGAGGTTGCCACAGCCTCCTTCAGAGTAAGGTTTTGATTAGGGTCTTTCACATGCTAACTAGCCTCCCCTGGTGTGTATTTTCCTGATTAGTGTACTTCACATGTTAATTTATTGCCCCTGAAGTATAGATTTAAAACCAACCCACATTTTAATCTTACTGCATAAATTGAAGTATTTTAACATAAATTACAGACAGTATGTTATCTAATCTTTATAACAAGTTTAGGAAGCAGATTTTATTCTTATTCCAATCTCATAGGGGAAAAACTTGAAGCTTAGAACCTAACCTAGGTCCCCCAGTTAGCAAAATCAAATCCGTGAGTCATTCAAAATCTGCATGACTCCAAAACCCATGTTGTTAGTTATTCAAATTAGCAGTGATTATTTTAGCTGTAATTAGTTCTGGTACTCTAAATGCTATTTTATTGGGTAATTTATGGAAAAACCAAAGTTATTGTTTAAATTAGCTAGTTTCCTCATTTTTGATGCTCCATACTTAGGGAAAGTGGAAAGCAAGATGGTAAGGAGTTCCATACCCTTTCAAAATAAGATTATCAGAGTTGGGAGAGAATAATAAGATTGTAGCCTTTTGCTCTCAATGTTACTGATGAAAAAAAGAAGTTGCACATGTTTGGATTAGGTTCTGTCCGTGTGATCAAGTTAGGACATTGGGATTTCTATGTTCATTAAGAACTCCGCTGCAATGATGAGGTGTGGTCTACAAGATGTGTGCTTCACTAAAGATAACCTCAGGTGTACTTTTGGGACAGTTGCTCTGTATATTAACGTCGTTTAACAATAATAGGAAAATGATCCAGGAATGTTTCTAAGCAGTAGACTTATGTTCACGTGTGATCTTCCCTTGGTTAGTATCTCAACCAGACTTAATTAATGCACTTTCCTTCCTTTCTAGAATGCCGTGTCTTGAAGTCATCTTATTCTCGCTCCTCAGCTGTTAAGTATTCTGGCTCTAAAAGCCCTGGGCCCTCCCGACGCAGCAAATCACCAGCTTCAGGTGGTTAATCATTCTCCTTTCAGTATTCTTTGATTATTATGAACTCCTAGTTTTTCCCATGTTTGTATGCAGCTTGGTTCCAAAACAACATATAGGTGACGTGACTTTTAGAATCAAACGTTTAAGTCTGTTTCTCAGAGTTGTCATAAATGTGCCAAGACACTTGTTTGTTTTGTCCTGACATATTTTCTTAAAAACAGTCATTATCTAGAATCTTCTGGTATTTACTTAGAAGTGCTTCTTCACATTGTGCCCACTGCATACTATATTTTTAACTTTGTGCTATCTGATTGTGAATATTTTCTTCTCTTACTGGTTTAAAACATACGTAGACACATCTAACACAGAAATGGATTTACTTGAAGAGTTTCACAGGTGTTTCCTTCTTTAAGCAATTAAATAGTAGCAAAGGTTATTATTGGAGTTAGTACTTATTTAAGAGTCAGATTTACCTGTAATTAATTTTCTTTCAGGTTCTAAACCTGTAGATTTGTCCTAATTTTGAATGCTTTGGTGCACTTTTTTAAAAGCTAAAAACATCTATCAATATCTTGATATATTCTATAAGATTTGTCTATAGTAATTATAAATAATTTTGTAATATCGTTTACTATTAAAGAAGGGATTGTGAAAAACCCTGATTTTACGTGTGGGAAATCTAGAACATTATGAAAATAGTATCAATAAAAACTACCTCAAGCATCAGGCTCTTTATAAAAGACTGAGTTTTTTGGACATTATGCTTTTCACTGGTTCCCCTTCAGCACCCATCCCACTTGACTTAGGTCAGGTTGTTTTACCCTTTTTTTGTATATGTGTTCAGACCTGCTGAATAACTGCTCTCCTTACTGTCTCCTCCTCCTTGTATTCACTGAATGTGTACAGTTAAGAGGGGTGGCCATCACTCCAGTGCCTACTCTGCAGCCAGATCCCCAGGTGAGCCATGATTAGTATGGCTTTGTCGCTCTGCTGGGTTTTTTTCGTTTTTGTTTTTTGCCACATTTCTGTTTCCTTTTGCTCCATTTCCATGAACGTATCTGGCTCGTACCAGTGTACATGTGTGCACCATGGAATGCTTCACAGTGCTTAGGATGCCTCAGCCTCCTGTGTTTATTAGAAAACCGGTCGTTGTCAGATTGCCAGATGCCTCTGTATGTACTTGTAGGACAAAGCGGTGAAGAAGCACACCACCTCCAAGGGCCTATCTTCTAGTTAATTTTGGAAAATACTCTGTTATTGAAAAAGTAATATGGGGGCACCTGGGTGGCGCAGTCGGTTAAGCGTCCGACTTCAGCCAGGTCACGATCTCGCGGTCCGTGAGTTCGAGCCCCGCGTAGGGCTCTGGGCTGATGGCTCAGAGCCTGGAGCCTGTTTCCGATTCTGTGTCTCCCTCTCTCTCTGCCCCTCCCCCGTTCATGCTCTGTCTCTCTCTGTCCCAAAAATAAATAAACGTTGAAAAAGTAATATGAAAATGGCCATAGAAGCAATTAAATTCTTATGTTCTCCTTCCCCTTCTAGTCTTACCTTCCTCCCCACCCTACAGCTAATAGGCCCAAGACTCTTCTAAAAATATTGACAATATGAATATTTTTAACTGAAAGCATTTCTCTACTGTGGACCTTATTTGAAATCATATTATGCTTTCTGTAAAGTATCTCAGACACAAAGAAAGCTAATATAACATGAAATTTGCATAAATACAATTACCTGAGCTTACCATAGAGTCAAATGTAGATTTTTGTCAGGTTGTTAGCTTTTGTTTTAGCCATAGGTTTACAGAGGTTTATCATAACAGTAAAATAAATAGAAGTGAGGAGAGTGATTCAGGAATCAGGTATTATAATGAATCCAGTCCATACTAAACTAAAAACATATTTCATAATCATATTTGTATAAAGAAAGATTTATTCAAATCTTTTTAACTTGGATTTGGAATGCTTACAAGTTGACTCAAAAAATCTTAACATGGCAGTACCCTCAATGTTTAAGTCCATATGTGCATTTGGGATAGTAGAGTAGATCTTAAACTCATAAGTAAGATGTTTAAATTAGGTTTTAGAGGGCAAACAGCTTCTTTATGAGAGATTAAACTTAAAAGTATGTTCAGCACAGGGCACCTGGGTGGCTCAGTCATTTAAGTGTCCAACTTTGGCTCAGGTCATGATCTCAAAACTTGTGGGTTCAAGCCCTGCGTCAGGCTCTGTGCTGACAGCTCAGAGCCTGGAGCCTGCTTCCGATTCTGTCTCTCCCTCTCTCTCTGTCCCTCCCCTGCTCATGCTCACTCGCTCTCTCTCAAAAATAAATATTTAAAAAAATAAAAAATAAAAAACTATGCTCAGCACATACTGCAGTTACAGAAACCTGACAGTTTTATGTTATTAAAAGCCAAGTACCCATAAGTACAACTCACTTTTATAGACCTCTTTAGCTGTGGTATACTTGTTAACGTTTAGAAAATTCCATGGGACTAATTGGAGTTTCAAACAGAGCTAGTAACTTTGTAGACCTAATATTGTACTTTTTCTGTTTTGGGACAGAAGTGAAGTCTTCTGGTTGACTGAATTCTTCAAGAAAACTCTATCAGAATAGTTAAATAGTGTGTAATAAACAGAGAAATTCATCCAGATAACATAATTCAGTAAATATTACCATAATTTGAGTCCTAAAAATTCTCACTTTAGTTTTCTTGCTTGTAAATCTTTCAGAGTCTACCAAGATAGAAAGTATTCAAAACAAACAAAAAAGCTTCAAGTTTGTTTCTTACCTTACAGTTGGGGGGAAGGGCACATGATAAATAGCCTTATGTTGGGAAAGAGAGTCTGGGGTAGTGAAGGAGTAGGAGGAGGACAAAGGTGCTGTCGGCTTGCTGCCTGCCTACCAGTTGGTGGCAGCAGTGTGAGGGGCGTGGCTACAACATGGGACTGTCTTGGGTCCCACTTACCGTCCCTAAGACTCTGGAGAAATGTGCAAATAAACGAAGTTAAGGACTTCTCATTAGGGAACACTTTTTAGGACCTTTCAAATGCTCTGGGAAACTTAGAGACCCACATATGACTTAGTATGTCTTTAGAATGAGATTATTTGGTGGG